CAACAAGTCCTCTAACCATATAACTTGTCGTGCAGCTTCTGTTCCTGCCATGAACTCGGCTTCGCATGATGACAACGCTACTGTTTCTTGTTTCTGAGAACACCATGTTATAGGGCTGTCTCCAAGATAAAATATGTGTCCAGAGGTGCTCTTTCCATCATCTGGGTCCACATTATGACTATTATCGCTGTAGCCAAGTAACTTTGGTATCTTCATACTTGGATTCTTAAAGACAAGGCCAAGCGATGTAGTACCTTGTAGATACCGCAAGCAATGTTTCATTGCAGCTCCATGTGACTCCCTTGGACTCTGCATGTAACGACTTAGGACACCTACGCAGTACGACATATCCGGCCTTGTGTGCAGCAAATATCTTAGGCAGCCCACATTCTTTCGATACTTTGTTGCATCGACTTCTTTCTCGCTTTCTGTCTTAGACAACTTAACCAAAGTTCCATCGGTGTATGCGTCAAGTCGCAGTTTTTCATCCCTGCTTCTTCTAATATCACTACAAGAAAACAGTTAATTGGCGACGACATTTAGCGACTGATTTGGCAGTTGCTAACAGTTACGACTAATTGGCGACTGATTTGCCTCCAATTTACGTCTCATAAAATACAGTCGGCAATTAGTCGCTAATTAGCGACTACGTAAAACAGTCGTAACTTGGCCAGTATATAATGATTAATTTAACGACTAATTTACGGTAGTCGGGAATTGGCGACTACTTTTTACCACTACATTTCGGCCCAAAATAAAAAAAAATGTAAACAAACCCATTAGCCCAAATAACAACCCTTACACTCGAGAACCCTAAGCACATAGACAAAATTCCCAAAATCCCTTTGACGAAACCCTAATTCCCTTTCTTCTCCCAACCCAGATATCTCACCAAAAATCCCCAAATCCCCGACAAACACTTTCGTTCTTCAACGATTAGAGGATGGGTGGTCGTGGTGGAAGGAAGAGAGGACGAGGCAGAGGAGGTGTGGCACCGTCGCAAGCCAGATCGTCGTCGCCTCTGCCAGGTCGTTACGACTTCACGCCCTCGCCATCGCCGCCGGTTGTCCCCACGCAGCAACCATCAGTATCCGTGAGGGATTATCCACCACCGGCGCAGTTGTTCCCGAACTCGCAGAATCCACATCGAGGACCAGAGTCTCGATCTCATGAGCAACCATCTCCACGCGGTCAACAGCAACCATCTCCACGCGGTCAACAACAACCTGTCTCTCAACAACAACACGAGCAAGCTTCTGACGCTCAAAGTGTATTTCCGGAAGAAGAAGAAGAAGCTCTATTCCCAGTGAATCTCGCGGAAGACCAGCAACGAATTCTCAATGCCTTGCTCACTCAGCCTGGCAGGAAAGCATACACCACAGTCCTCTCTCCCATAAAGAAGCCAAACACAACATGGTATGATTTCAAGTAATCTAACTGCATAGTTTAGGGTTTTTTTGGCTAGAATTTGTATGATTGTTTAGAGTTGTTAGGGTACTTGGCTTAGAATTGTTATGATTTTTTAGAGTTGTTATGGTACTTGGCTTAGAATTGTTAGAATTGTTATGGTACTTAGCTTAGATTTATGGACTGTTTATTTGCTTATCTTAGTATTGGGTTTAGGATTGTAACTGTTTCTTTGCTTTATTGTGTGCTTGCAGGTTTGGGCGTGACAAGTCTTCCCTTACTCGGAAGATAACAAAAAATTTATGTAACAAGTTCGATGGCCCATTTTATAGCTGGACATGTGTGCCTCGGGAGAGACAGGAAAGATTCTTTGTTGAATTCGCGGTAAGGTTCTCTATCCATATTCTCCTTTTTTGTGTTGATACATATGAGCCATTTGTTTTTTATTGCTCACTAACATCATCTTCTCTATTTTTTTGGTAGAAAACCCACACCTGGGATCCTTTATTAACCGGTGTGGTTCAAGAAAGGTTTGAGAGAGTATGTCTCCTCCGGATGAAAGACATGGTCAGCAAGGTTAGGGCTTCTCGAGAACAACCAAACTGGATTGGAGATACTCTTTGGAAACAAATGACAGAGTATTGGGACACTGAAGAAGCCAAAGAGAAGAGTTCCACCACATCAGCTGCTCGGATGTCTAAGCGTAATGGACTTGGTCCTCATGTTCACTTCTCAGGGCAGAAGTCATGCCTCCAAATCCAACAAGAAATGGTAAGTATATCAATTTCTAACTTTCTCATAAGTTATATATCATCTTTAGTCAGATGGGAACTAACTCTTTCTTTATATTGTTATCATTTCAGGAAGAAGAGTTGGGAAGACCGGTGAGTCTTGGTGAAGTTTTTATCAAGGTTCATACAAAACGAGATGGAACGTTTGTAGACCGAAAGTCCAAGAATGTGGCTGAGGCTTATAGGAAGAACCTGGATTCCAAGTTGGCTGGCCTCGGGATAGACTCAGAGACTTCAGATGGTACTTCACCATCGTTGGGGCTAACCATAGAAGAGGAGAATGAGATTTTTCTTCAGGTAAAGTCTTCGTTTTTTATTTTTGATGTGTTCTTTTATATTATGCTTTGCTTCTATAGATTTCAAGTTGTTACTTTGTTTGATGCTTTGATGTTAAAATATATGCATTGATGCTTTGATCCTTATTTTGTTTTTGCAGTCGACTTTCATAAATGAGCGAGGAATTCCTTATAGAATTGGAAGTCTTTCAGAGACACATGTCAATGGAAAGAGGAAATGCCCAGGAAGCTCTTCAACATACAAGGGATTGGAAAAGCAGCTACAAGAAGCTCATCGCAAAATAGAAGAACAAGCGGCTGAGAACTCCAAGCGTGAAGCAGAGCAACAAGCCAAGCTGGACAAGTTATCTATGGTGGAAAAGTATTTGACTGAAACTGATCCAAAGTTCATGGATTTTTTGGCTGCAAATCAAACTCTTCCAAGTGATCCAACTCACTCTTAAGGTTTTTCTACGTCTCTTTTTTTAAGTATCTCGGCTCTTAAGACTCTTTTGAACTTATCTCAATGGTTAAGTATGTAACCATTTGATCTTTGTTTAGTAACTTTTGGAACAATGGTTTTATGTCTTTTTAAAAAATAATGGTATTATGTAATATAATGACTTTTTGCATTTTACATTTGAATATTTTTTTGCTGTAAAATTGTTATTTAAAATGTAGAATGGATTCAAATTATGAGATTTGGAGGAATCTAATCGTAAAACTAGATTTTGTTTTCATTTATTGAAGCCGTCGCAATGCAGTCGTAAATCAGTCGGAATACAGTCATAAATACGTCTCAAAACAGTCGTTAAATTGCACCAAATATCATTCAATTATCGAACCATATGGTCGCCATTCAGTCGCAAATACGTCGCAAAAACAGTCGTCAATCAGTCGCTAAGGTAACGACTGCTTTGCGACTGATTAACTTCGTCAACATTTAGTCGTTATTCAGTCGGTATTTGGCGACTGATAAGCGACTAATTAATTTAGCGACTCAATATTAGCGACTGATGCTATTAGTCGGAACTTGGACGTAAATTTAGTGTTAGCGACTAATTAGCAACTGTATATGAGGTTGCTAAATCTCTGTTTTCTTGTAGTGTATCTTTAAAGCATACCTGTTTTGACATAAAGTTATTCCTTCATCATATTGGCAAACCTCAATTCCAAGATAATACGTCAATTTTCCAAGGTCGCTCATATCAAACTTTGAAGACATCTCGGCTTTAAACTTGTTAATGACGTCTCTGCTTGATCCTGTAATGAAGAGATCATCCACATATACAGTTACCACCAAGAGGTCTTTACCAAGTTCTTTTCGGTACACAGAAGGCTCCTTTGAACACTTTGTAAACCTTAATTCCACCAGTATCTGGTTTAACTTATTGTTCCATGTACTTGGTGTCTGTCTTAATCCATACAAAGCCTTATGCAACTTGTAGACCTTGTCTTCTTCTCCTCTTTTCTCATAACCCTCTGGTTGAGCTACATACACAGTCTCCTTTAATTCTCCATGAAGAAAGGCTGTTTTAACATCTAAATGATGTATCTCCCATCTGTTTGAAGCTGCCAGATTGATGAGGAGTCGTATTGTTTCTAGCCGCGCTACTGGTGCAAAAACTTCCTCAAATTCAACACCATACTGTTGTATGTAACCCTTTGCAACCAATCGAGCCTTGTGTTTATTAACACTTCCATCAGAATTACGCTTAAGCTTAAATACCCACTTCAAACCTATGGGCTTTACTCCAACCGGTAGATCAACAAGGGTCCAAGTTTGGTTCTTCTCGATCGAATGGAGCTCATCCTCACACGCAAGTCTCCATTCTTTTCTTTGGCCTCTCTGAAATTCGCAGGTTCATCGTTTAAGCACATGAGCAACTCTTCTCCTTCCTTTTCTGCAAGCAAGACATAGTTTTCTACCAAGTATTTTGGTTTTACAGATGGTCTTGTTGATCTTCGAAGACCTGGTACTGCTGTAGATATCTCATCATCTTAAACCTCTGTACCTTGCTCATATGAGGTAATTGATGTATCAATATCACCTTCTGTGTGATTTTCATCAGACTCTGTTTCTTCCTCTGCATCGTTCTCATACTCGTTTTGATGCTCTGTTTCTGCTTCTTCTTCAATTGATATTTGAATACCGCGATTGCTAAATTCTCCAAACGAGATTTTGAAGCTCCCATGCATCCTGTCTTTCTTTTGGATTTATCGAGCTCCAATTCCATCCCTTTGTCTCGTCGAAGATTACATCTCGGCTCACTACTATCTTGCGAGCTTGGGGATCGAGTAATCGATACGCCTTTGACTCAGGCTCTGTTCCGAGATGCACAAGCATGTGAGACCTGTCATCGAGCTTCTTTAACATTGGTTTCTCCACTTTTGCGTATGCAATGCACCCGAATACCTTAAGATGACATATATTCGGTTTTCTATTCCGGTAAAGCTCGTATGGTGTCTAGTCCTTCAGTGCTCGTGTCGCCACTCGATTCAACAGATATGTGCTATGTCTTATAGCTTATCCCCAAAGATAATTTGGTAATCGCATGTCTTTCATGATACTTCTGGCCATCCCCATCAAAGTCATGTTTTGTCTCTCTACGACCCCATTCTGTTGGGGCGTGTAAGGTGCAGTGAGATGTCGTTTTATCCCCGAGGCATCACAGAAAGAGTTAAACTCGCTTGATGTAAATTCTCCTCCCCTGTCCATTCTAAACGTTTGAATGTTTTCTCCTGCTTCTGTCTCGACAAGGGATTTGAACCTTTTGAACTTTGAAAACGCATCACCCTTTTCCTTGAGAAGAATCGTCCACATGTATCTGGTGAAGTCGTCAATAAGCACAAATATGTACCTATTCCTGGCTAAGGTAGTTTGTGTTATGGGACCGCAGAGATCACCATGTACCAGTTCGAGGGCCTTACTTGCTCGATATGACGTTGCTTGTGGGAACACCTTTCTTGCGTGTTTTCCTAAGAGACAAGAACCACATAACTCCTTTTCGAAATTCACCTTAGAAATTCCTTAATCCAGCTCTTGATTCACCATATTTTTGATTGTTTCGTAGTTTATGTGTCCTAGTCTCGAGTGCCATCTCTTTGACTCACTCATAGTCGACAAGTGCAGGCACTGTTGATCTCTGATTCCCATACGAACCTTGTATAGTCTGTTCTTCGACCGACTTGATTTGGCAATCAGTTTTCCACTCGCATCATGCATTGTCAAGCAGTCTCCTCTCATTCTTATGTTGCACCCTGATTATGTGGCTTGTCCGAGACTTATGATATTACTTTTCAAATCTGGAATAAAGTAGACATCTGTCATTTTCCTTGGCTCTCCATTCATATCAGTGAATGAGATGGATCTTTTTCCCTTTATATCGATCCGAGAATCATCATCGAAGTGCACCTTTCCTGTCATTGTCTCATCAATATCTGAGAAGTATCTTTGGTCACCTGTTGTGTGATTGCTGACTCCATTGTCAAGGTACCACAAATCATCTTCTCCTGAGTTTGTCTCATATTCGCTTGGTGTGCAGTTTTTCTCGTTGAGGTAAACAACCTCGTGCATCAATAATTCATCTGCACTTTGTGTTTCACTATTGTTGCTCTCTTGTGCCTTCTTGTAGTTTGAGTAACCGGTCGGGACAATCTGAGGCGTAGTGGCCGATCTTGTCGCAACGATAACACATTATCTGCGATGTATCTCTCCATTGATTTGATCGACCACGACCTCTGCCTCTTCTACCTCTGCGACATCTTCCTCTCCAGTTGTTGTTGTACTCGCGGTTAGGTTTCCCTGCTTGATCCTATGTATTTGCGTACATCATTTTGTTTGCATCTTCTTGTGTTTCCTCTTCTTCAGATATCCTTTCTTCATACGCCTTTAGTCGCCCCACGATGTCTTCGAAACTAGTGACATTCAGGTCCAACACTTGTTCAAGGGAGGCGACGATGTGGATGTATTTTTTCCGAGGCAAACTTTTAAGAAACTTCTTCACTAACTTTGATTCTTCAACGTTTACTCCGAGTGCAGCTGATTTTGACGAGATTTCAGATAATTTTCCAGAGAATTCGTCTATTGTTTCTGTGTCTTTCATCTGTAATCGGTCAAATTCAGCCATCAGAGTCTGTAGACGAGCCTCTTTGAATCTTTCAGCACCCACATACCTTGTCCGTATTGCTTCCCATACTTGCTTTGCTGTGCTTAACTCGCCGACAGTAAGAACCAGTGATTCGGGTATGGATTGGAATAATAACGCCATTGCAATGATGTTCTTCTCTTCATCTGTTGATCCTGTCTCTATTGTTTCCCAGACTTTGTGGACTTTGAGACAAACTCGCATCCACACAATCCAAACGGTGTAGTTAGTTGAATTGAACATAGGACATTGGATTGAAGAGGAAGGACTCCCTCCTTCTTTAGGTTTTTCGGTTGCTGGCACTAAATCTCCCATATCGATGTATTGTAAAAGCTCTGATACCAAATCTAGTTTGTAATAATGATTAAGAACTTAAGAACTCAAGGTTTAAGAATAACTCTCTTATTGCTTTAGAAAACTAACTCAAAAACTAAAGCTCTCAATCTCATAAGTTGATATCTCCTTATATAGAGAAGGGATTAGATAACTCCTAATTCCTATAGAAATACAAATTTCCTTTTTCTTAGATAACTCTTAATAATATTTCTTATTCCTACTATCTTGCAAGTCAAGATAACTTCAAGCTTAATCCAACAAGTTTGTTATCCTCAAACTAAGTCTTGAACTCTCAAACTAAATCTGTCATCATTTCATAATAGACTTATTCAGATATATATGTTTCTACCAGATCTTTTGGTGAATAAAACAAATTTCGTTTAGTGGAAAACAATAGAAACAGTTTTGCAATTACGTTCTTTTTGCAACATGTAACGAAGGATAAAAATATATTATATTATAAGATTTTTTTGACAAAAGTTGTAGTTTTGATAGATTGGGTCCTTTTGGTAATATCAAGGCTTGAGAGTACGTTGTTACAATAATCCTTTCATAAAAAACTAGTCTTTGGTTATTCTGTTAGAGTTAGACCCGATTAGAAACAGATTGATTCGTTTGGCTGACATTGTATGAACATACTATTTAGGTTTCAACAAAAATACAAAAAAGTATATATATTTTGGAGTTCTTGCATCTTTAATTTTCCGTTATTAGTCCGTTATTAGTAAAATACAAAATATATATCAGAATTTGCTTCACTTGCATCCTGATCGTATCGGAGGAGCCACTTGGTAAGCTTACAATTCCATTGTCATCATGTTTGCTTTAAGTGTTTGCTTATACTTTAAGTTTTCCTTACTAACTACTCTGTAATATGTTATAGGTTTAGACATGAAAACACAGGGAAGATAACTAAACAGATTTTGAAGATGATGAAGTCTTATCTCCCACGATCATATCCCACTTACCGTAGCCTTCCAATTGCTGTGAAAAACCAATGGTTCAGAGCATTTGCGGTGAGTTCTCTACATTCATTATTAATTGTATTAGCTGGTTCAGTCTGGTTGATCAATTGTGCAGTGAGTTATCTACAACTTTGTTTACATTTTGCAGCAAGAGTTTAACTGGGATCCATCCATCACCGAAACAGTGAGATCAGCGTATGACCTTCAGGCCGATGCATCATTTCGGTCCAACTTGCATGAGTGGAAGAAGACTCTGAAGAAGAAAGGTCCCAACAATGCACCAGATTGGATGAAGTCTCGGATGTCTCTCTTTGGAGGTTACCTGAAGATGTGGGCCTCATCACAAGTGAAAAAAACCTCTGCCAAGAACTCCAAGAAATGGACTAGGCCAGGCCATACACAACAATGGAGCTAAAACATTGGAAAGGCGATGGGATGAGCTGGTAAATCACTCTACTTTCATTTTTTTCATTATCGGTTTATTGCATTTCTATGTTTCACTCTTTTCATTGTTTTTTTTTTAATTTTCAGACGGTAGAAGGAAATGGAGTAGAGCCGGACATGCTGACATTTATTGAGGATGTCCACACCTGTAAGAAGACAAAGACCATACCTGATAACAAAGCTAGACAGATCGTGAATGAGTCTAAGGCAAGGCTGGAGGAGATTGCTACGCAGAGACAAACTCAAGGAGAAGGCTCACAAATCCTTACACAAGCCGAGATAAATGCAGTCGTACTTGAGGTATATGTTATCATTATATGCCTCATTACTTAGTTAAAATGTTGTCATTATAGTCTCATTTTAGTACTCGTGAATTATTTTGTATCATTTCATGTCTCGGCTCATGTGTCATGTTGGTAGAACTGATTGAAGTCGTAATTTTTTTTTTCATTTGGACATTGTCATAGCTAATTTGGTTACTTGAAAAAGTCTACTTGTTCATATCATGCCTCTTTAACACAACATTTCATGTCTCCTTTGATTAATTCTTTCCATGTCTGTTTCGTGTAATGTAAGGAAACAGATTTTGATGACTTGTTGTTTACATTTGTCTCGGTGATGTCTCTGTTATTACATTGTTTGTTTTAGAATTTATCTAACACCATTTCCTCACAATCCTTTTTTCATTTCCAGCAAATTCCCAATTTCAGAGGTCGGCGGTTTGGGATTGGTACGATGGTTGATGGCAAAGGCTTATCTTCCACAAAGGCTACTCAGAATCAGACACAAGAATCATTAGAAGAGGTGATAAAGACTATGAAGAAATCTGAAGCTGAGAAAGATGCACACATTAAGTATCTAATGGAATGCAACAAGCTTCTTCTTAGCAAGTTTCCTGATCTGGTTCCTCCATCAGCTCCAGTAGAGGATCAAATGGGCGAGGAGGAGGACGCAGATGCTGAAGAGGCCGAGGCAGATGCTGAGGACGCCGAGACACATGATGAGGATGCCGATGAAGACAAGTCAGAGGAAGACAATGCTGAAGATGATGAGACGCAGGAGTAGGAGTTTGCAGGAAGACAAGGCTGAAGATGTGGTGGTTGGTGTTTGTGTTATAATGCCTATGTGTTTTTTTTTTTGTGTTCTAAAAAAGTTTGAAGGATGGTTTTTGGTGTATGATAAATGTGCTCTAGTAAAAAAAACATGGAATGTTATCTTCTTAAACATTGTGGTTATATGTGATTTGAACTTTTATTATGCTTTTAATTTCTCCAATTTCATCTCATTTATGATTTCACATAATTTCATCATAATGGTTTTGTAGGTAATCTGTTTGTAAATTCGTAGGTTTTTATTAAAAATGGTAGGAAATTCTCATAGGAAAATGGCAGGAAGATAGCCGTAGATTTTTAGTATGTTAGTTTTGTCAGAAAATGGAAGGAAATATCCGTAGTATAAAGGTAGGTAAATTATCGTAGGAAAAATATTCGTAGCAAACTGGTAGAAATTTCGTAAAGATTTAGAAATTTCGTAAAGATTTACCTACAAAATTTCTACGTAATTGTGCGTAGGTAATTTCCTACGGTATTTTTCGTAGAAAATTTTCTACAATTTTCCTACTAATTATAATTTCCGACGGCCGATTTCCTATAAACAAGATTTGTCGGTTTTGGGTAGAAAAGGGCCATTTCCTACGCTTAAACGACGATATTTGCTGTAGGAATTCGGCTTGCATTCTTGTAGTGAAGGGATGATAAAATTTTCCACAATACTGCACTTAAAACGTTAATTTATATAGCACTAGGAAATTACAATCCTCAAAGGAACCATAATTGGGTCTATTGATGAAAATACATAGTGACTATATATATTATGAAATGAGGATATGATCATGATCTCTACGATCAAACTTCGAAGCCCACACTTGTAAGTTACAACGGATCATATAAGGATCCATGTATTCTACGACCAGGAAATAAGGGTAATAAAAAACAATGTGAGAAAAGTGAAACGAATAGAAAATCCACACAAAAAGGTGAAATGAATAAAAGCAACAGAAAATTATATAAGAAAATACCATTGCATGGGAATCAAGGTGTTGATGCTTTGCTTGAAGATGGAGGTTAGAATAACTGCAGGTTGCTTTGGAAATTGCGCCTCACATCCTCTTTTTTTTTTTTAATATGTTAGAAAATTCTCAAACTGAAAGTGAAGAAGAGATGGATAATCCAAAGTTAACTGGATATTTGGATGTTAGGATACATTCGAAATATCCAATCCATAACTATTATGTAAAATTTGAGGTTTTAAAGTATTAATATATCGTTTATAATTAATTTTTTTTCTTTGAGAAAGATTTACAATTAATTTTAGAAATAACATTTCTTAAATTTAGATGACATAGATTACATATAACATTTGTAAATGTATATTACCAAATGCATTTAATAAACGTAAACCGCAAGTTGCAGACTTAGGATTACCAAAAAAAAAAAAAATGCAGGATTTAACATTTTAGTATTTTTGAGTTTTGTTTTTTTTTTTTTTTTTTTTGCCTCTTTGTTATAAACTATAAATTTTAGATGGTTTATTGAATTTGCTGAGTATCTAGTTTGGTTTGAATATGAATCTTGACAAGATTGAGCTTTTTATTGCAAGATTATACCCAGAGAAAGCTATACCTCTTGATAGAGTTGGTTTCCGCAGTGGTTCACTCACAATGAAGAAATAGACCATTCCAATAAATAGCTCTGGGAAATTTATGACTTTCATTATATGAACGATGAATTCCCAAACGAATTGTATAAAATGCCTTTCTAAAATTCAGTTTTAGTATTGTTTTTGTTGGCGGAGCCACATCAATTAAGGTGGGGTCATTCACCCCCTATAAAATTAAAAAAAAAATTGGTGTAATTTTTTAAAACTTAATATCAATACAATAAAAATATCCCTATTTGTTCTAGTAAAAAAAAAAATCTGACTCCTCCACTGATCTTCTACTGATTGTTTTCCTGTTAAATCTTTGTACCAACTTCGAACATTCTTCACTAAGCAGATATAGCTTTTATTTCGTTACTACGAGTACCATCAATGAGAAATCCACAACTACGAATTTTCTAGGTCACACGACAAAACTTTTAAAAAAATTATAACAAAAAAAATTATTCATATATATAATTGAGAGAAAAAGGAAAATCGGAAGTGGGTTGGTCTGAATTTTGAACCTGACTAAGACCACATGCTCAAATCTCTCTCAGCCTGTGGGATTCCCACTTTTGTTTATTTGTCTCTCTCCTCGATTTCTTCAAAGATTCTTCTTCATTCGCCACGTGTCGTTGTCTTTGTATCCACCATGCGGATGATCTCATCTTACTCGCGGACCAATCACTTTTCATAATTTGTAAATTATAGGGTTTCTTTCTCATTTGTTCAATAATTGTTCATCAACAGATCCTTAATTAAACAAAAAAAAATTCGACTCCTACTTGACATATAACAAAATTTATGACAGATATATACATATATTTATATATATTAAAACCATGATTTTATGAAAAATGAAACAGCTATAGTACATTATAACATTCACAATCTATCACAATAACTCAAAAGAGATCTATGAAATTGTCATGATTGGTTGGACTAGAAATTGGGAGCCACAACAAGGGTCCAACTTGAATAGTTGAATACAATGATCCACCATTCCTTACTCGGATACCAATCATTGTTTTTGAATCACTAATTTTAGTGGTAGAAAATGAAAGACTGTTAACATTTTGTTTTGCCTTAATCATAAGCAAATAGTACACCCAAGACCCAGGTCTCACCCAACTACCAAATCAAATTGGTGAGATGCTAAATCGATTTACTCAGTCTCTAACTCCTTTATTGAGAATATCACAAAAGCCAAAGGTCAAATATACTATTATACTAAGATCATACAGTTAATACGAAACCATATATACGTACATGCATATAAAATAGGTAGTTAGCTGTGTAAAATCTATCTGTATGTGTGTGTGGGGATGTGTGTGATCCATACCCATACATGTTTTTTGATCAAATCTTGGTCTTCATGTAAGCCCCTTTTTACGAAAATCGATGTTTTGTGTCTCTACCAACTTTAGCTGCTAGGGATATCATGGGCTACACATTGTCCGGCCAAATCTCTGCTTTTGCATGGTCATTTGTTCCGTTAGAGAGATGTGCTAATTTTCAATGAAAATTTAAAATAAAAAAGGTTAAGGATGAGTTTTCTTTGATTATATATTATTATAAGTTAGAGGATTGAAATAGATTTGTTTAGAGTTTGAAATTTATTCGATAAGTAACCAAGTGATGGGTACCTCGAGGAATGTTTTTAGCCTAGTAGTTAATTAACATTTTGTTTTATAATTAATAATAATACAAGAGGAACTAAGATCATGTTCAATGATAACAACTCTAAAAAGGGTGCTTAAATATTATTTAATTATTAAATTTAAAATCATCTTCATTTTACAACATATGTCTGCTAGTATCTGTTAAGCATCGCTGTTTACAACTCTTATTTAAGCATCAATGCTCAAATTATTCTATTTTTATGATTTAATTTTTTCAAAAAATTATCTAAGCACTTTTCCTAAGCATCTGCATTGAACATGCTCTAGCTAAAGGTTGGATATGAAGGTACAATAATAATTTGAACCGTAATGATCAATTAAAACCGGATACATCGAACTACTAGAACACCATAATCCAAGAATCACAATTATCAATTTACAAAACCTAAATTAATTAGTACATGCAGATTTTTTTTAAATGTAACAGTGAAAAGTTATGGACCATGTGCTACAGACACATAGATATTTGTGAACCAGGACTCGTCATAGAAAAAACGTGGTCCAAGAAATGATTAATCGCAACTAATTATGGAGTATACCTCTCTTCCACGGAACATTTTGGAGAGTAATATCAAACTTAATAGCGACAAAACAAACAAAAAAAAAAGTTAACAAATATACTTACCACTTAGGACCAGCCATGAGTGTGGGACCCATGCAAGAATGGAAACTTTTGACTAATTTAGAAGATTAGGGTGGGTCCTAATATACTTAGAAGATTAGGGTGGGTCCTGACTGGTGATGACAACTCAAAGGAAGAATCAAGAATGTGACACAAAAGAGGTTGAGGACACATGGAAGATGGGGTGCCTGAGAATGTACAAACAACTCCAATTCTGAATTTCTGATCCAGCGTTGTACGGCCCTCGCTCACACTTCTCATCATTTCAAACACATTCTTATAAAATAATCAGTCACCTTAATAACAGGTTACATTCATAAATAATAATGGCAAAGTGTATATGTCTTAGTTTATTTATTGTATTATTAATTTATAACTAGGAAAGAATCTAGATTTATACCACCCGATTAATTTCAGGATGAATATATCCATCAAATAGTCTACTCATCAGTTTTTTCAATTGGTCTAAATCAAAACACCATTTTAACTTGCCAAATGTGAGTAACTAGATAGTTCTACATTGTTGAAAACGCATCAGCCAATAAAAACCTTTAACTCTCTTTACCATTTGGTCGCAATGTATGTGTCGATATGGTCAAAATTCTAAGAAACTAGTTAGTATATACTCTTTTTGTTCTTTAATAATAATACACACTCCCTAATTAAAATGAACAAGTAAAAAATTACCTTTGGAGAAGACGCGAATGAGTTCCAAAGTATATGTGTTGATGATCAAAAACATAATAATAGGTTACATCACATAATAATGTCAAAGCGTATGTTGATGATCAAAAATATAATAATAGGTTACATCACATAATAATGTCAAAGCGTATGTTGATGATCAAAAATTCTGAGAAACTAGTACACACTCCTTTTTATTCTTTAATAATAATACACACTCAGTTTATATGAACAATTAAAAATGACTTTTGGAGAAAACGCTCCCATTATTTTATATACTTATTTCTAATCTACCTTTTTATATTTAAAATTGTCAGAATTAAGTAAGTGCGGGTTTTCTATTTTTGAAAAACGTATTGATGGTCTTTGTTCACATCTCATGGTCCGAGTTAGATCACGTTATTTTTCTTCATCATAACATAATAACGTTAAAAAATAATTAATATAATGATATATTGAGGAAGCCACCAAACTCTCTCCTCCCACATTTTTTTCTATATATAGAGAGATAGATGCTTGGCTTCTCCTTTATCTCCACTCTCTATATTTTCCTTTACTCTCTCCTCGCTTTATTACAATCTCAATCTTCTCTAAATTTCATAGAAAGCTTGTGAAATGGATTATTCTTCGATGCACCAGGTACTAAATTAATCAAGATCACATTTTAACTAATGATTATTTTGTTAAAGAATTGGGTTTTTTTTTAAATTCATCTTACATTTGATCTATTATAGAGTGTGGTTGGAGTATCTTCATGTTCATCACAAGATTACCAGAACCAGAAGAAACCCTCTCCGGCGATTAGGCCAGCTCCACCGGAGCAATCACTGAGATGCCCTCGCTGCGACTCAACCAACACAAAGTTCTGTTACTACAACAACTACAGCCTCTCTCAGCCTCGCTACTTCTGCAAATCTTGTCGGAGATATTGGACCAAAGGCGGTATCCTAAGAAACATCCCAATCGGTGGTGCTTACCGGAAACACAAACGCTCCTCCTCCACTACTAAAAGCCTTAGAACAACCCCTGAACCACCGATGATGATGACCCACGAGGGGAAAGCATTTCCGGCAGCGAGTTTCGGTGGATACAGTAATAACATTAACAATGAACAGATAGAGCTTGGGTTAGCATTTGCCTTGCTGAACAAGCAACCTCTAGGGTTTCATTCTGAGTTCGGAAGCTCTCAGTCTCCAATGGGTATAGAGGGTGTCTTTGGGATACCGCAGATGGAGAACGCCGGTTATGCGTTTGGGAATGGTGGAAGCGGTCTGGAGCAAATGTCGACAACGTCAAGTGATCCAAACAGGGTCTTTTGGGGATTCCCATGGCAGCAGATGAACATGGGAGGAGGAGGAAGTGGTCACGTTGATCAGATTGATTCAGGGAGAGAGGTTTGGAATAGTACTGTCAACTACATCAATACTGGTGCTTTACTGTAATCTATTTACTAAAAAATAGGATAAATCATTTTCATTAGCTTCGGGTTTGGATTCTGGTTTTCTTGGGTAGAGAAAGGGATACTTATTAGGGGGAAAGAAAATTAGATATCTTGTGCTTTCTTCGAAGATTTTCAATTACTTGGAATATGAAGTGTGTGTTTCTTTGTTTCTGATCTAATTTCTTGAGTTTTTATTTTGGTATTTCATTATGGCTCAAATGAACAATTTTCTTGAGTTTCCAAATTTCAAAACTGATGTTTACTATTTAAAATATTATTTAAGACGAACGTTGCTTATTAAATCACTTAGAAAAATATGTTAAGTGATGAAGGGAGTGGAGTGATAATCGTATCCTATATGATATAACAATATAGTTCAGCAATAGATCTATTTCTGACTATATATATAGATGTATGTATATGATCTAAAAGATAATGTAACGATAGATAACAAGGATAGGAGAATATCAATCCACAATCTTGCGTGGAATATATTCATGGAACCATGAAACGATAACATTTCCGTTTGACAAAAAAAAAAAGAGAGATAAATTTGCAGACTCGAAATGATGTCATCACTCATCAGCAAACAATTTTTTTCGTAGAATAATGTATTTACTATTTAAACACAATTTTCCGAGCAAACCCGGAATAATTAGTAGTATTGAATTTAATTTGTGCTCCAATTAATTGAAGTACTGTAATAAAGGTATACTCGAACTTAAATACAGACAGAATTGCGTTGAAAATGTGCATCAAATAAACTAAACGAATTATTTAATTTATTGCGAAGAAATGATTATAGGAATAACCAATATCATACCTAACGTGACCTATTTGCATATAAATATACATTAAGCGTGTTTTTAATTACTAAAAATATCTTTGTCGGTTGGTAGTTTGCTACTTTACTTTACCCACATAAACACATGCATGCTTAACAAATAACAACTTAAGTATGCTTATACATATATATATATATCTAATCGCTAATGGTTAGTTTCTCTGTACTGTTTTTGTTTAATGAAAATGGACTGAAAGTATATATTTGACCAATAAAGTATGCTTATATGTTTATATATAAAGACACTGATAATAACATAAAATGAGTTTTTTATTTATTAAACTGCATCAGAGACAGATAGTACTTAGTTTAAGTGTTTTTTACGAATTTGCTACATTGATTTCTTTTGATTTTATCGTCCTGCATCGAAAAGAAGATCATTTTCTGATAGCTTTGTACATGTCGTATTTTGCAAAGGTGAAGTCGTCATAAATAATAAAATAAATGCTACTTCTCAAACAAATTCAAAATAGACAAATGTTTTAAAAACTTCGAATAAGTGTTTCTACATGTAAAAGCCTATTTTTCCTCTCGCTTTTAATTTTAACTAGATGCTAATATTACAGTTTCTGTGTTGTTAATTTTATATGCGTAACATACACCAAATGAAATAACTGTTACAACTTACAATACAAGACTAAATTACATAACGTATAGTGTACAAAAACAATTATGCGTTTGTGGTTGTTGGTTTGTGCATGAGAAGTTCTCAATAACTCAAAATTGGCGCCTTAAGACTTTAGATTTTTAGTCTACGTACGATTCAAACCTTCGGATTCTTCGTATAAAACCTTTTTATCGTTACCCCAACAAATGGACCAAAGTGCTTCCACAAATATAGATCTTTGATTAAAGTAATATTCTCTCGAACCGAAACAAAATGTTTGATTTACCGTATAAATAGCTTTAGGTTTGTGTATTTCCCGAAGGTTCTTTTGATGAGAATTTAACACCTTTTAAGTAGATTTGGAATATATCGCAGTACGAGGCTTGTAGGCCTTATAACATTGTTTTCATCTGTCCTAAAATCACGATGAAACATATGGATATATATATATATATATATTTATGTTACTATATTATATGATATAATTGATATATATATAGAAATACATATGTTCAGTATATTATATATTTTTATATACAAAAGTATAAAATCAGCATGAGGTACGAACCGAATCCAATTGGAAGATTCTGGCGTGACAAAATCCTCGTCAGAATTGAACAAACTGCCAAACTCATCTCTTTGCCTTGATGGAAACAACTACCAAACTCTATCTTTATTAAAATGTTATTTTGTTTTAAATCCCAAAAAAACGGTTTTGATTTGATATGTTTGGAATTTTGTTGTATGATGTCTTTAGTGACGTTGCGTTTTCATCAATGGAATGAATAGTGCTGGATGAATATTGAAAATTGAACAAACAAATTTTCGGTTTATTTTAGTTGTTGAAGATCATAAAACAAAACTGAAGCCAAACTGAATAAAAAGATAACTATCATGTTCCAACTTCGAACCCGAATCATAACCTCGTAGATGTGGGACGATCTCACCATAAGTCTGAAGTAAAACATACTCGACCATTATGCTTTACAAGTACTTTTTTTAGCTTTTCTTTTTCTATCTCATATCTATTGAACACATCATCAGCTGTGGTATCTGTCCTGCATATTTGCTGGCAATTTAAATTTAGATACTTGTCTCTCGCTCTAACTTTCTCATACTCTACATACCGAAATAATAATCATGGCAGATGATTATTTCACTCGTCATCTCACAAACTACCTTCTGATCATATGCAAGTCTATCTCCCTTCATGAAAATCTTTGAAAACTTATATAGATGACGTATCAAGTGATGTGTTCCATGTGTTTTACTATTTATCACTAACTTTGAAATACACTTGCTTCTTTCTTTGCCATCTTCTTCAACCCCTAACAGGTACAAAACAATAAGGAGTTAGGAGATCATCTACAGATGATTATTAACGTATGTTAATTACTTAAAAATCCCATAGAGACTATGACTATGAACCAGCTGAGAAGCAATTAGATATCGAAACACAGACAACTGCAATTAGCATTTATTGTTAGGCTCATTGGGCCTTAACCCAATATACATTGTATTCTTACCGACCCCACTGAATCGGACGGAACAGATGGCTACTCAACAATAGCCTTGTTTGGTCCTATAAAACTCGATTCTTTTAAATTTGTTTCTCTACAGAACCAAACTTTGAAAGTAGAACCTGAGATATACAAATGAAAACAAAAAAACAATACGTTTTTTCATGAATTTCCAGGATCATTGATTGAAAATTCGATTTTTTAGAGTCTTTAGTAGATAGATTTTTTTTTTTCATATGGTAGATTTTAATTTTTGTAACCTTTTGAAATTAAATTTCAAGTGGTGTATTTCCCAATCTCTTTCATTGCCTTAACATAAAAGAATCATACTTTCGACTTCTCTTCGCCTTCTGGATCAATAAGACTTTATACCAATTATATATATATATATACATATATATTTATTTTATTTTTTTGGAGCAAAAAACAAATTGTATATTTTATTAGTTACTAATATATATTTAATCAGGTATAACGATTTATTAAACGGACTTCTAATCAGGAGATGGACGTATGGCGGAGCTACTTAGTACAAGATGGGGGCAGATGCCCCCAGTCAAATTTTTGTTAGAATAATGCAAATTATTAAGGCATTAAATAATGTTTCCACTCAGAATTCTTTTTTTGCGCCGATAACAAAACTATTTGGACAACAGAGATTTTTAACCCCAGAAAAAAACTGTTCTGCTTCCGCCACGATGGACGTTATGCCATGACAACGCGCTTTTATGTGCTCCCATGCTGATTGAATTGAATCTGAAGAAGGGAAACGATTCTTTGTATTGTAGTTCCCGGCCTATACACGTAGCATTATAGTTATCGTAATTATTTTCTCGAGCCAGGCAGTTATGAATCGCCACTCAGTTTTAATACTATCTAATTAGCCGACATATTATTATAGTATAAAGTTTTCGTAGCATTTCGTCTGAGGCGATATCAAGCACAATACCATATCATCTGTAACTTTATAAACTGGAAATTGGGGATAAAATAGCTTAGAGTTGTAAATGTAACCAATCTAATTGGTCGCCCTTCGATTTACCAAGTATGTATCTTATTGCCCAACAAATATTTTTTTTGAACCGATATATTTATTCCTTTTTTGTTAAATGGTAAATTTAGTCTTAACTTGAACTTAATTAGAAGCTGTAGACCATGAGATAACAACAAAAAAATCGGTGATAAACTAAAAAGATATAAAAAGTTAGGTTTATTTACTTGCCGATATACTAGCTCTAGCTTAACAAATTTGGATTAAATAATAATAGTTATCGCCCCTGCCAAAAACTAGATCAAAATTGTTAAGTGTAAAATATACTTTATCTATTTCACTCACTCTTAAGTACTTTTTGGTTGAATGAGCACACATTAAAACAACTACATATTTTCTTCAATTTCATTTTATGCATGAAAACATCACAACTAAAAACAATTGAACTAGTAAAAATATACCGTAGAATAAAAATTGAAATATTTGTATAAAAAACAAAACATCGCTTAAGGTGTAGTTAAAAATATGTGTTATTCTTTAAAAAAAAACATAAAATATATTATAATTAGTAGCACGTTAAAGACAATTACGTTTAAGAGATACATACGTAGAATATATCAGTATACCAACCCAAGTGATGAATAATATGACTTCATCACCATAAGTAAATTGTTGAAAAATATCAATTATGTGGATTTATTTCCGGAGTACAAAACAAAAAAGTCTTTTAAAAATTTCAGTATCTCACTAACCTACCGACAACGTTCACTATTTCACTAATATGAATATGTGGATCTCAAATGGTCAAAACTTAATCCTATCTCCCATAATCCCATAACTTTCAAAACCTAATTATAACTATGCAAAAACGCAAGTTCGATCATTAATTATAGATTCAAATATCTGTCTCAAGAGTCACGACAAAAATAAAGAAACAATTTTCTTTAATTTTCGTATATGTATAAATCAAGATGACAATAACACACTACCCAATTGGCAATTGCAAGAAAGATAAGTCTCTACTGTACTAACGGAGAGGAATATTCCCATATGTAAAACGACACGTGGCACAGCATGTGCACACCTATGTAAAACCCCATCATCTTCGTCAACATCACTCTCTTCTTTAGAGCATTTACAAAAAAAAAAAAAAAACAGAGCAAACAAAAATTCAAAACTCTGAGAAATCAAAAACCAAAAAAGTTATGAGATCGTGCAACCATGTAATAGGTTTCGTAAACTTTCTCACTTTCCTCCTATCGATCCCAATCCTCGGCGGAGGGATATGGTTAAGCAGCAGAGCTAACTCAACCGACTGTTTACGCTTCCTCCAATGGCCACTCATCGTCATCGGAATCTCAATCATGGTCGTTTCCCTCGCCGGATTCGCCGGAGCTTGTTACCGGAACAAGTTCCTCATGTGGCTTTACCTCGTCGTCATGCTCCTCATCATCGCCGCACTAATCGGATTCATCATCTTCGCTTACGCCGTCACCGATAAAGGATCCGGTCGAACCGTGGTTAACCGGGGTTATCTGGATTATTATCTTCAAGATTATTCCGGTTGGTTGAAGGACCGGGTTTCTGATGATGGGTATTGGGGAAAAATCAGTTCTTGTATAAGGGATTCTGGTGCTTGTAGGAAGATCGGAAGGAGTTTTAATGGCGTCCCTGAAAATAGTGATATGTTCTTCATGAGAAGGCTTAGCCCTGTAGAGGTAAACTTTCTCTCTGTTTTTTTTTCTTTTTCATTTTTGAAATAAAATTTTATTTTCTTATCTTCGATGTTGATTTGGAATCAAAATCCTGATTCAAAAACTAAAATTTGATGGTGGATTCTTGGATATTCAGATTCAGAAATTTTTTGAAAAGTTTCTAGATTTTTAGTTTTTCTTTTGGGGAACAAAGCTTTAAATTTATTTCTTGAAATAATAAATTTCGGTCGTCCATGTCTTAATGACCCATATGACGAGGGAGACTCAATTATTGAAAGATACTAATATACACTTTTTTTTATATAAATATAAACTTTGTTCAAACTGAAGGAACTTTGGTTTACTGTTTTTATAATTAACTTGGTTGACTAATAAAGTATGGAGTCTAGATCTGATTCAGGTTTTGCCTCCAGCTTACTCCAGCAAAAATTAATAAAATAATAAGCTGAAAAGTTTTCATTTTTTGAATTTATTCAAAAGGTTGAAAATTGTTGTTTAATATATTCAACCTGATTGATTGTTGTGTGGAAGCTATATAAATGGAACAAATTTTTAATTTTGAGAAGGTAAAAAAATTATGATTCTTTTGAATGATTGTCCAGGTTTATTTATTCTTATTGGCCTGGAGATCCTCTGCAATTTTGCTGGCCATTGCAGTTTTTGTTCATATACGTTAAACCTAACTTTTTGAAAATAAAGAAAATTATTCGTTTGTTGTCTTTTTAGAATTTTACTATTAACTTTCGATATTTATATATATGCTCAAACCCAAGCTTTACACGTGAGTAACCAAAACAATGATCAAGATGCATGGAAACTTCGAAAGGGTAGTTGTTCAAGTCTTTGTTTTGTCATAATATATCATGAATCTAAACTGCTCTGTTCTTTCTTTTTTATTTCCTCATAAAAGATTCTTACTTTTTGGTGTATAGTAATATTATTAGATGTAGTAACCTATCGAGCTATATAAGCTTTGATTCATGATCATAAATGATATATTGGTGGTAGTTATATATAGGGCTGGAATTATTATCCGGTATCCGGTATCCGGTATCCGGTATCCGATCCGGTATCCGGTATTCGATCCGGTATCCGGTTCTATCCGATCCGTAAAGACTGAATATCCGTGTAGTTCGGATTCGGATCCGGATAGTGAAATTAAGTATTCGTTTATTTTAGATACGGATCTGGATAATAGAAAATTTTGAAACCGGATATCCGTTATCTGTTTGTTAAATATTTATTTATTTTTAATAATATTTATTCATTTTTAAAATTAATTTTAGAATTGTTTTTGGTTTAACTCTTTTACATATGATTGAAATTCATATTGTGTGATAATTTTCTATTTTAAATTGTGAGATAAGAACATAAAAAAGATAGCATATGGAAATGAAGATAAATTAATTTCTCTATTACTTTTTTCTCTTTTGTTATGTAAACTCTTAAACTTTATGCTATTTGAATGCTACTCGAATATATATAACTTATATATGCATATAGCTTGAGCTTTGTTAAGTTTAGATATCTATAAAATGCTTCAATGATGGTCATGATGCAGAGTTACTAGTGTCTCTGCTTCACCTGCTTATTGTTTATGATGAGTTATTTGATTAATACTAAAGATCATAATCTATAATTGTTGTTAAAATTGCAGTCCGGCTGTTGCAAGCCGCCAACAGACTGTGGGTTTTCATATGGTAACGAGACGTTTTGGATGCAAGGAGGAGGCATGATAGGACCAAATAACCCGGACTGTATGTTGTGGAACAATGACCAGAGCATGCTATGTTACCAGTGCAGCTCTTGTAAAGCCGGTGTTCTTGGGAGCCTAAAGAAGAGCTGGAGAAAAGTATCTGTGATCAACATCGTTGTGCTTATCATTCTTGTTATCTTCTACGTGATCGCTTATGCGGCTTATCGGAATGTCAAGAGGATTGATAACGATGAACCGGCCGGTGAAGCTAGGATGACAAAATCACACCCTAGTCATTTCCACCTTTGATCAAAGAGTTTGGTAATTGGTACAGTTCATCATCATTACATGTTAATTATAAATCTTGTTGAAAAACAAAAAGATGAATGCTTTGAACTATGTTTTTACTTGCTTATGACAAGAAAGTTTGGATTTTGTTATTACTTTTGTGTTTGTTTTGGTATGTAACACAATTTTTTTTTCTGTGTATATTTCTTATGTTGGAAATCAGACCCCTAAGTTCTTTTTTTTTTTGTCAACCCCCTAAGTTCATTTATTACTTGTTCTTTAGAGGGAAAATCGCATTTTTAATTCTCGACGTACACAACCGCTAGCATTTTTAATTTTTTGACGACGCAAACTCGGAAACTAGTTTGATCATTACAATTGTTAGTTTCATTGGTTTGATGGTTTAAAATGATAGTGATTTATACTTTGATAGTTAAAAATATGATTTTATCTCTCTTTAAATAAGCATTACAACACAAGTTTAAATCGAAATTCTATCAAAAAAAAAGTTTAAATCGAAATATTGGTAAAAATGGACTGAGAAATCTCACTGGAAATGTAAATCATGTTCTGTTTTCATCTTCACGGCTAAGTTCTGGACTCCATCTACGTACTGTATGCTCTTCCACTGTGTAATCCTCTAAACACACAGGCAGATTCATATCCTCTCTGTTCACTTCTCCATTAACCTAAAGAACCAACAATGTTTTCGCGACGCTTCCGGTTAGCCGGACACAACAATGGATATCCGACCACACTCTTAACCGGTCATTCACTTCAATAGACCGAACCACAACTGCGTATTCAGAGTGGACAAGAGACGGATGATGTCTATACACCACGAAATCAACTTCATATTGTAACCCTGATCTCACAATCCAATTCTTTGATCTTAAATGGGAATAAGCCTTGTAAGATGTAGCAAAGTTTGGCTTAAACAATCTTATGAATCGCCATAACTCTACCTTGTTCTCCAAGCAACAACCTTGAAAGGAAATCTTGATGCATTTTAGATTGTAGAACAGAAAGAAAGCTTCTTCGAAAGTTAACTGGATCCATCTCTTGTCATTCTCGGCACAAACTACGGGTCTACCGAAACAACCACGGTCCAAAAGCTTAGCTTGCTCTGCCTCAACGGTTAGTAGGACATTGCAACTTGTGAGGACACCTGAAGCCTTGGCTCGGGTCAAAGAAGATTGGAGCTCTGAGACTGTTTTTGAAATTGGTTCCAAAAGCGCCTTTCCATTTCCACCTTGGCGCCATGAAGATGGGTCTGCAGACTCTGCACACAGAATAAAGGATCCTCCTTTCATAAAAATTTCCGGAACAAAACATAAAAGGTTTCTACTTTTGCTTAGTTTTATGAGAAACTAGTCTTATGTCACTCTTTTTAACTTTCAAAGCCTCAAGTTAGATGAATCTAATGCATGAACAATGCACCATATTTTCAAGTAATTTGAGATATTCTCGCGCGATTTGTTACTGTTTTTTTTCCTCGACTTCTGTTTAGATCAAGAACACATAAGAGTGACATCATAAATCGCTAGTAACAAAAAAACTTAATTTTATACCTCAAGGTGACCAAAAAGTTAGATTTGTGCATGCTCAACACAGACCAAAACTAAGGTCCGTGAAGCAATGACTTCAGGGCAGCCCAATAAATATTATTTTTGGGGCAGCAAAAAAAACCCAATTTTTTTTTATAAATGTGTGTAAAGAAGGTTGTTCCACATCGACCAAACAGAAAAAATGGGAAGGAAAAATTGCCTATAAATAAGAGTCATTATCCCATCAAATATTTTTTTTTAAAAATCGATTCTAGCTTATAATAATTGATTATGGGCTTCAAAAAATCGGTTTTGGCTTATAAAAATCAATTTTGGGCTTAAAAAAATCGATTTTGGTTTTTAAAAATCTTTTTGGCTTTAAAAAATTGATTATGGGCTTCGAAAAATCGATTCTGAGCTTAAAAAAAATCGATCTAAAGTTTAAAAAAATAATTTTGGCTTTAAAAAATCAATTATGGGCTTCAAAAAATTGATTTTAAGGTAGAGAAAATCGATTTTAAGAAAAAAAAAATTTTTGATTAAAGACATCATTTTTACAGTACGCTTTAGGCGTCAAATCACTTTGGGCCGGTCCTGTAGAGAATTATACAAGACAACAAATCTCTCAGACATTTCATCGAACAACTTCCGTTTGTTACAATTTTCCAATTCAATAAAAATTTCAACGTTAAAACAGAGAAACTCTTAGCGGCTATTCGCAAAGCATGTTATGCGAAAACCAATTCAAAAAGTTATTAAAAGTACCTTTGGTTTTTGAAGCTAGTAATCGCCAATTACGGAGTGTGCATCTCCTAATCAGAACATCTCTGCTTTATATAATATACACCGAGGAGAATAATGTCTTTTCACTTATTCCAAAAGGCAAAAGACAGAAACATGGACAGAATTTTGAAGACGAACGAGGGCAAGATTAAAGTTTTGTTTTTTTATGTTCTCCAACTTAAAGTTACGTAATTTTTTTTTTCATTCAAGAACTCAGAACTGAACCAGTGCACACAACCTGTTCGATAAATTGTCTTATGGAGTTTTAAAGGCTGAAAACGCTAAAGATATATAGAGAAGTAAGACACGACCTAAAACCCTCTGGCTACGTGTACATGTTTTGAATTCAAAGGCTTTGTAAGCGAGGAAATTACAGAGTTAGTAGCAGAGTTTGGTGTTGTAATCTTGCTTTGATCTCAGATATTAATGGTTTTTGATTGTCAATTTACAAAATAATCAGTTTTTTAGATTGTTTCATGTTGCTGATAGATAAGCGATTTTACCATAACAAAAGAAAAGAAAGGGTGGATCCTTGGTTTTGTATTTTCACATCCTATCTCTTGGTGGTTGGTTCTATAGTTGGTTATGATTAGTTTATATTATTTACTTATTGTTGTTATTGGATAAAATACCCGGTTAGATTGGTTTATTTGTAAGTTGGTTTATTATTGAGTTACACACTGTGTATATAAACTAAGTGTAACTAATTGTATAGACTAACACTTGAATGAATAACAAACTTTCTTCTTTGCATCTGAGCTCTCTCTCTCGATTTTTTCTCATTGATCTTGAAGCTTGTTTGATAGAGATTTAATATGGTATAAGAGATTCCAAAATCTTCCGTGTTCTTCGAGATCTACTGAGAATGAGCTGTGCGATTCCAGTTTCGTTTCATATTCTTGAGTTGTTTTTTGCCATTGTTGCGGAGCTTGTTATCGGAGTTGTTGCTTCTCCGTTCTGCTTTTGTTCTTTTCTTTGATTGACATTAGCTTTCATCGACACATCTTCTTTTGTTTCTGTTTCCAATTTCATACTGAATCATGGAAAATAAAAATCCGAATCTCAATCCAACTTTGGTGAATCCTGTTCAATCTTCGACAAATTCGTCTTCGTCAAATTCGACTACGTCAGATCACTACGAAAATCCGTATTATCTTCATACGAATGACCATGCTGGTCTTGTTCTTGTCTCGGATCGTCTCACGACTGCTTCGGATTTTCATTCTTGGAGGAGAACTGTGCGTATGGCTTTGAATGTCAGAAACAAGATTGGTTTCATTGATGGTACTATTTCTCGACCTTCAACTTCTGATAGATTGTATGGTGCTTGGTCTCGTTGTAATGGTTGATGAACTCGGTTTCAAAGAAAATAGGCCAGAGTCTCTTGTTCATATCTACGGCTGAAGGAATATGGAATAATTTGATGTCTAGGTTCAAACAAGATGATGCTCCTAGGGTATATGATATAGAACAGAGATTGAGTAAGATTAAACAAGGATCGATGGATGTATCAGCTTACTATACGGAATTGATTACCTTATGGGAAGAACATAAGAATTTTGTGGAATTGCCGGTCTGTACTTGTGGAAAATGTGAGTGTGATGCAGCTGCTTTGTGGGAAAAATTGCAGCATAGAAGTCGTGTGACTAAATTTTTGATGGGACATAATGAGTCTTATGAACAGACTAGACGTCATATTCTTATGTTGAAGCCAATTCCGACTATTGAAGAAGCTTTCAACATTGTTTGTCAAGATGAGAGACAGAAATCTCTTCAACCTGCTACTAAACTAGACATTGTGGCTTTCAATGCCAATACACCTGTACAGCAAGATGGGCAATTGATTCAAGGTTATACAGCTGAGGAGAATGCTTATATTGCGGCTTATAATATGGCACTTCCGGTTCAGAAGCCTGTTTATACACACTGCGGGAAAGTGGGACATATGGTAAACAAGTGTTTTAAGCTACATGGATTTCCACCTGGCTATAAGAGTAATGGAAATGGGTTTCGACCTCCATTTCAACCTCGGATGCAACAGACACAAACTCAGCCACGGATGCCACAAATGCAAATGCCTTCACAATCTTTCAGAATGCAAATGCGGTTGCCAATGTCTATTCAGATACTAGCAGATACTATCCGTATGAAGCTCCTCAGGGTATACCTCATCTAACGAGTGGTGGTGCGAATCTGAATCTTCAGGATTTCACTCCACAACAAATCCAAGGATTGATTTCAAAATTTAAATCTCAAGTACAAGTTCAGGAGCCTGTTGCTACTACTCCAAATACAGCTACTATTAGTGACCGGGGTGTCATGGCTCAAATCACAACTTCTGGTAATGTCTCTTTTCCATCTACTAGTCTTAGATATGATGATAAACGCCTTACCTTTCAAAATCATTGTCTATCCTCATTACAACAACTTTTTCCTCGTGATGCTTGGATCATAGATAGTGAAACCTCTTGTCATGTTTGTTCTGATCTAGATTTGTTTAGAGAACTCGTACCTGTATCTAGTGTCACTGTTACACTTCCTAATGGTACTAAAGTTCCCATCACTCATACTGGTACAATATACATTTCGGAATCATTGATTTTGCATAACGTGTTGCATGTTCCTGATTTTCATTTTAACCTGATTAGTGTTAGTGTTCTTGTCACCACATTTTTCTGTTCTGCTCATTTATATTCCACTTGCTGTTTGATTCAGGAATTTTCTCGGGGCTTGATGATTGGGAGGGGTAAACTTTACCACAACTTCTACATTCTTGAGAATGCGACCCTCTCAACATCACCTCCTGCTTTATTTTGTGGCTCGGTTTTAGCTGATGGGAATCTGTGGCATCATCGCCTTGGGCATCCCTCATCAGCAACTTTACACAAACTCAAAGATTTGTTACCCGGTTTTAAAAGTGTTTCAGCTGATTTTTCTCATTGTTCTATTTGTCCATTAGCTTAACAGAAAAGATGGGCTTTTGTTTCTCATAATAATTTGGCTTCTAAGCCATTTGACTTAGTTCATTTAGATATATGGGGTCCTTTTAGCATTGAGTCTGTAGAAGGGTATAAATATTTCTTGACCTTAGTCGATGATTGTACTCGAGTCACTTGGTTATACATGTTGAGAAATAAAGGAGATGTTTCAACTATTTTTCCTGCTTTTCTTACTATGATTTTGACTCAATACAATAGCAAACTTAAGGCAATCCGATCAGATAATGACCTGAATTAGCTTTTACATCTTTGCTCAAAGAACAGGGAATCTTCCACTATTTTTCTTGTGCTTATACGCCTCAACAGAACTCTGTTGTAGAGCGTAAGCATCAACATTTACTAAACGTGGCTAGATCCTTATTATTTCAATCGAACATACCTTTGCCATATTGGAGTGATTGTGTGCAAACTGCAGTTTTCTTGATAAGTAGACTACCTTGTCCTTTGCTTAATAACAAGTCACCATTTGAACTTCTTTTAGGTAAAACTCCTGATTACACCTTGTTAAAGTCTTTTGGTTCTTTGTGCTATGCTTCAACACTGGTTAAAGATCGTAACAAATTCTCTCCTAGAGCAAAACCATGTGTTTTTCTTGGTTATTCTTCTGGATACAAATGTTATAAGGTGTTGGATCTTGAGTCTCGTTCTGTGTCTGTTTCTAGATATGTAGTTTTTCATGAAACAACATTTCCTTTTAAAACCAGAGAATACGTATCTGAGGCTGTTGACATGTTTCCCAATACGATTTTGCCTCTTCCTGCTTCTTTGTATTTTGTAGAAACCATGCCATTATCTGATCCACCTGCATCTGTTTCATTGCATCCACCTGCATCTAGTACATCTGTTTCATCAGTTCCTGCATCTCATATACCTGCACATCTTAGTACCACAACATCATCTACCTCAGGAACACAGGATTTAGATACTAGTTCTG